TCTGGTGCGAATTATTCGGGTGGGAATTGTCCTACAACCAAAATTAGGTCGTCCTTTCAAAGGTAATCGTTGAAATTTAGCAAAGTAGACCTTTCCTTGCATTTTTTTCGAACCATGAAGAGTGTGAGCATTTCGTCTGAATAGTATTCATTGAATGCCATTATAAACAGAAATTGCAAATGTTTTATCGATCATTAAATAATTGATAATTATTATGACTATTTTCTAAGAAAGATTAAGATAAAGTTTTAGCTACTCGTTGGTAGTCCCCCGCTAACCATCGCCTACTAAAAGAAAATTTGGCTTTTAGGAAATACAATCGATATCGATACGTGGGTTTTTTTAACATGTGGTCACCAGCAATTCTGGTATGCGACCCGGAAATCATAAAAGAAGTACTAATAAGACAATTCAGAAGCTTTGGCGTTTGGATTCATGTACCTCACAATGTGGATCGTACGCTATCGTTAAATCCCTTTGTTCTGGACGGGGAGGTATGGAAAGATGTGAGAGGCAAACTGACCTCACAGTTTACTGGTGCAAAAGTAAGTGTTACTGTCATGAGTTGGTTTTCTTTATACTGTTCAAGATGAAAAACGTTATTCCGAATATGGTACATGTTAATGGCAGAATGATGGACTACATTAAAGGTCAACTAAGAGAATCCTGTGATGAGATTAATGTGGGAGATTTGTCCCTGAAATTTACGGGCGAAAGCGTCTACCATTATGCTTATGGAGTCGATGGCGGATCGTTCAGTGATAAATGCCCGCATCCACTGGAAGTTGCTGAACAGATTTGTACTAGAAACCAACTGGGCAAAGTAAAGCAAATGATTGCAATGATGTTCCCTAGCCTTGGAAACCTAATAAAATGCACGTAAGAGTAATATTGTCCCCATTTCTCTACATTTCATGACATTCCTGAAGTTTCATAGGTGGACCCATTACGAGTAGCTTTAAAGAAATGATACTATCTGTAGTCAAGTACCGAAAAGATAATGGGGTAACCTCTAAGAACTATCTGGACCATTTGAGTGAATTGAAATCAATGGGAGTACCTCACTGTGAGTATCTTTGGATTTTCACATTGACTACCACTTTACTTTCCTACAGTTACAAGTGAAGACCAATTAGTGAGTCACGCTTTTACGTTTTTTCTCGATGGTACCGAAACGACCGCGATAACCTTTTCGTGTACTTTACTGGAGCTCGCAAAAAATCCGGCCGTTCAAGAGCAAGTCAAACGTGAAATGGAACGCTCACTGAAACGACATAGTAACGAAATCACTTACGACGCTCTGCAAGAATTAGACTACACTGAATCAGTGATTTACGGTACTGTTGAGGACAGTCGGCCATCTGGCGCTTACAAGATTCATTTTTTAGAGACCTTAAGGTTATACACTGTGATACGATTGATGGGACGAGTTTGCCTGGAAGACGTGACGTTGCCCTCCCCATTCTTCGGGAAGGATGGGGAACATGTCAGGATCAGCAAAGGCACGCAAATATTTATGCCAATGGAAGAAATGCATCGAGATGCCACACACTATCCTAATCCGACCGAATTCAATCCAGATCGTTTTCAGGATAACACTCAACGTTCAATTTTTATGGGATTTGGCGACGGACCAAAGTTATGTTTAGGTACTTTGTGAGTGTTTGTTACAACCTGACTAACTCAAAAATTTTAGGCAAACCATTTGCAATGGCGGCGATCAAGATGGGATTAATAGCAATTTTGTCTGACTTTACAGTAGAATTAAGCGAGAAAATGGATCGTCCGGTGAAATCGGGAAATTGTAACATATTCTATTCACCAGAACCAGATATTTGGCTAAAGTTTGTGAAGGTGTAATGTGTTTCTAAACACTTATTTTTGCACATAAACAGTAATTTTAGGGAGTGGTGGGTGTTAGCAGCAACCATGTCATAAGCTGTACTATTTTATTCATTTATTATTATTATTATTATTAAACAGTAGATTATTTCATGAGCCCCTTCAACAAAGTTCAAAAAGTAAGGCGGTACAAAGATACATTTAAAAAAAAAACGCATTTTTTAATTCTAATTCTAATTTATAAGAGTCAGTCACAATCAATAGTTAAATTTTGATTCCAGGCCCTATATATTTTATTCTGGGTAAAGTAAAAGTCAAATAAATATCACCATGAAACAATTTAAAGTTAATTTACAGGGTGTTTTCTTTGTAGGTCTAAAGTTACAAAATTTTATATTAAAGAATTTCACTTTTTTTAAGTCGAACACCCTGAATATTTTTGTGTCATCTTTTAGCTCCTCCAAAAACAAATTTACTTTTGGTAATAATCTCTGATAGTTTTTGAAATTTCTTGGTTTTCCTGATTTCCTCGTCTTCTAAGATGATTAAATAATTTTTCAGAGATCTGTCCAAATATCTGTTACTGTTTAGAGTTTACGTAATAGTCTGGATGCCAAACTGGGATTTTTGACTTAACGTGGAAATGAGGTACGGTGAAGGTTTATGACGGTTTTTAGTTCGTGTCTACTTTGAGAATCCGTTTGATGCCACATTGACACCCTTGAGCAGTTTGAGAAATTCAAGATGGCGGCCAAAAAAGTCAGCAAAAAATACAAAAATTAAAGTTTTAAAAAATATGGGCATATAGCACATCCATTTTAGGGTTTTCGGGCCTTGTGAATTCAAATTTGCTGTTAAAATTTTTTTGGGGGCGTTTTGGTGGAGTGGGGGCTGTTTTTGGGGGGTTGGTTTTTATATTTTTTCAATATTAACGAGTCGTACATCAATTTATATGTTTTTATGAATAAGAATCTCGAATTTCAGATCAAAATAGGTACAGAAACTCCTATTTGTTAATTATTTTTGGGGGGGGGGGGGGCTGCTTGAGGGGGGAATCTGGAACTACTGAATAAA